AGATCAAGAATGTTAGCAAGTTGATCGTGTCGATCAGGAACGCGTGTAGGGTGTTTGATTATTTGTTCCAAATCATTAAGTAAGGAAAAAGAGAGTGCCTCAGCTCCACCTGGGTCATCCCTTGCAGAGCCAAGCCACTCACTGTGATGTACATTGAAATCCCCTAGGTAGAGGATCTCGGTGTTGGGGTGTGTGGATAGCAACGACTCATGGCAAGAAGTGAGATAGTCAAAGAGTTCGAAATAGTTGGTAGAGTTGGGAGAACAGTATAGGAAACAAAGAAAAATAGTCACAGTAGGTAGAGATATTTTGAGCCAGATGACATCATAAAGGGGAGATTCAAGATCCGTGAGTCAGGCTATAGGTGTACGTGTATTGCAGTAGGCGCATACACCTCCCTTAGAACGGAAGTAGGTATAAAGGTTGTGGTTAGAGACTTGAAAAGGTTTGGGTGAAGCTGCTTTGGTCAGTTGAAGTTCGGAGAGTAGTAAGAGATCGGGGGAAGAGGTTAATGGATGGTGCTCCACAGAAGAAAAATTGGATCTCAGTCCGCGAATGTTGGAGAAATGAAGCGTGAAAAAAGCCGATCCTCCAGCAACCGTAGTGGCGTCAGTTGAGGCCCCAGTAGCTTGATGATGATCAGGTCGGCCCTGGGGTCCACAACCTTCCCGACCAGTGGGACCCATCAGAGAAGGCCCCGCTTCAGTATTAATATCAACTGACATAGGAGAATAAAATAGAATGAATAAAACAGATCAAGAATGAGTAAGGTTTTAGTTGTGGTGTTGTCAATAGTAAGAGAGACAGTTGAGACCCTGCAATTGTGTGTAAATGAGGCAGAAAGATAGATCAGCAACCTGGGACTTGGTCACAATTTTCGTGATGCCATATAGCAGCAGGGTCTACCCTTAGACAACACATTATGCTTCCAATATCTTCCCAGGTGGTAGTACCTCCCTGGTTGGGTATCCCTTATCCGAAATCCCCAAGTCCGAAATGCTCTGAAATTCAAAAGTCTGTTTCGTTATACAGTATTTATGGTAGATAATACACTGAATATGGCATATATCATAATTTTTACTAGGTTAAGTATGCATGTGTAATGAATAAAGGTAAGACAGGCTGCTTAGCACCTCAGAGTCAGGCATCATGGCGATGCCAAACAGTCGGTAGTGATCGTTTACCTTTCTGGTTCTTTAGTGTACATCTTATCATATATTTTATACCCAAAATGATTAAATTATATTTCATAAAACTACCTACAGAATATATGTATCCATATACTGTAAATTAATTTTATGCATAGACTTGGGACAACTTACCCCCACCCATCCGAGCAAAGACTACGCTCCCTCCCTTTAAATCATCACTATAAAAACATATATTGTCAACGTATTAATATTTTTGTAATACCTACTTTATATTCCTACTTTATTGTACTGTACCACCAAAACCTTTATATCAAAAATTATCATGTAGATACCCTGTAGATAGAAATTACCATTGCAAAATATTTTTGCCATCAAGACATGATACTGACAGTTTCTGTCTTCTTGTTTTACAACCCATGTTGTATTGCTTCCCTCCCTTATCACATTAATGTATGTCAACTCCATTGTAAAATATGTATGTGTATATTTATAATATAAATGTAAACAAAAATACAAATTAAATAAATAACGAAGTGACAGCCGTGGTAACATTCTGATATGTTCTTACTAACACCAAGTTATGTGTACTTTTCCAGATGATACTAAATGTTACATAATACTTCCTTGAGATAAATGTACAGTAGTATATATCAGGTGCCATTAAGAGACCTCAGGCTCTCAGTTAGCTCAGCCCTGTCAATATTGTTATTTTTATCAACTCTGTATCTATATTTTTCTGGCTAAATACAGTAAACCTTTGTTATTCACGAGGGATAGGTTCCAAGGAATGGCGCAAATAGGCAAAACCCCGAATAGTAACTTATACTACAGGTTGTACCTCTCTAGTCCAGCATTCTGTGGTCCGGAAACTCCCGTGGTCCGGAATGATTTTAGTTTGTCCAATAGGTAGATAGGCAGCTTTTTTTTTTTTTTTTTTTACTTATCTGAATTATTATTACAGGAGTATTAAATTTTTGCCCCTCAGGCCCCAATGTGGGTCAGTGACCTATGCCCGGGTGGGCTAATCCCCTTAAAAAACAAAAAAAATAAAACAAAGCCGCGGGAAATTAAGGTTTGTTTACATCCGGCAGTTCGGCTGCTCTCTCTCTCTCTCTCTCTGCTTGTCTATACAGAGTACAACATTTAACCCTTCAATATATATATGAGCAGTAAATAAGTGTTGCTTTCATATTCTTATGTAGAGTAATGACGATATGTTTTCACATGTGCACACTTACATACGCGCAGTCTCACTTTTTTTTAACCATTAATAGTTAGCTACTTATATTGTTCCATTTATTAACATTAAATAACATTACAGGTACTTCAAACAGCCATATTAATTTTTTTACATTAATTTTACTACAGCTAAAAATCAGGGTCTTATTTTCTTCAGTTTTATATGTAGAACCAATCAGTCGCTGGTTTCGTAAGCTTTAACATAAACAATGCCGGCAGCCGTCTCGTCTCCTCTAATATTCGACGTATTATTAATAAATTGTATTGTTAATTTTGCACACACGCATATATTAATTCAATAAAAACAAATTCAGAAACATTAATAAAAATATATATGAATGCAAATAAGTGTTGCTTTCTTTATATTCTATGTAAAGTAATATGATATAGCCACGCAGGTGCATAGCAAGACTTACATATGCATCTCTTTTTCTTTTACCATTATCAGTAGCTACTTTCTATTGTTCCATTTATTAACATTAAAATAACATTACTTAAAAACAACCATATTAATTTTACTACAGCTACAAACTAAGGTCTTATTTTCTTCAGTTTTATATGTAGAACCAGTCAGTCACTGTTTTGTAATCAACTAAAGTCAACGTTGTGTCATTTCCTCGTAGTGTTTTTAATATTCTACGTGATATTAATGAATTGTATTGCTCATTTTGCACACATAAACATTAATTCAATAAAAAGACATTCAGTAATAAACAATAATGAATCTTGGTATACAGAAATGACGCTGTTTACACGATTATGCATGTCGTCTGCACGTTGGCGGGCCGTTCAAACCCGTCGAAATTCAAGTTTCCGCCGTCAAAATTTTTATTTATTTATTTTTTTGTGTTCCAATAAAATACGTTAAGAATTAAAAACTCGCGAAATTTGAGAAGCTACTATACGACATTTAACCCTTCAATATGTCTTCAAAGAGGCCATGACGAAGAGAAAGTGGTGCTAGTGCTTCCAGGCATAAGCACAAGTCACTATCTATCCAGGAAAAAGGGTGAATTTCCATGGTCCGGCAATTTCCATGGTCCGGCACCGGTCAGGTCCCGAGGTTACGTAATTTAGAGGTAAATAAACTTGTTCCTTAGTGCACTACTGTATACCTATACCAAACAACTGACCAGCTGCAGCACCACTCATCCCCTCCTTTAACTTGTCTAACAATTCAACTTTCTTTGTCAGAGACATCATTGACTCTGCCTCTTACATTTCACTACACTAGCATCAGTAGCATTGACACCAGGCAGTCTTTTAGGTGGCCATTTCACACAGAAACACTAAAATTTTGAGAGTACAACACGAGATGGTAAGCGGGGTGAGTCATTGTACTGCGGAAAAAAGCTTGCAAGCTAACCACCACAGCCACCATCTGCTTGCCGCAAATCGTCGAAATCGCGAATCGCAAACCCGCGAATGGGAAGAGTGTACTGTAAACTGTTTCAATATCAATGTTTTGGTGAATGCTATTACTGTACGATATATCATTTCTTTTCAGTACATTCTAATGCCCTGATTTCATCCATTGTATTTCTCATACTTCTATTATTTGTGTAGTAGACATTTAAATTCGTCATGATCCGAGCCCTCTCACTGTCACCTTTAGGTTTTAATGCTCTGCCTGATTTAGCTTTATCGTCATTCCTAGCACGATTTTTCTGTATCTTTTGCTTTGTTTACCCGCACCTACTGCAGAAGCCTCGACCCCCTGCTCACATGTTTCCCTAGCAGTTTAAAGACTTCAGCATCTCTTGAACTACCCTCTCGAGAGAAATAGCCATGCTTGCCACCCTATCCCTAGATAAATGTACCCCATCCCTAGCATAAAGAACCCTTCTACCAAAAGTTGTCCCGGTTGTCAATGAACGGGACTGATATTGACTTGCAATATCTGTCAAGACGGCCATTGACATCAACTGCCCTTGATAACCATTCATTGCCTTCCTCCACATACAATAGGGATCCCTCCCTCCTAATCCTGTCAGTGGGTTTGTTCTCATTACCAGACATGATATTGTCCATCCTGTCAGCTATATCCCCCACTCCAGCTCTTGACAAACACACTCTCATCCTATTTCTGTCTGTAGCACGAAACTCTATCTAGGTACCTTACCTGAGAATCACCACCAATTAAGGTTTTTGTACCTTCCTTGTCAGCCTTATTCTTGTCTATGTTACCGTCCATTTCATCTACCAAAAGACTAAAGGAGTTTGTTGTCTTTTTTTACCTCCAGTTTGGTTGTTCCTCTCCTTACTACCCTCCATTACCTGTGTTTCATCAGACACAGACTCCCTGTTTTGTATTTTCCTCCTTCATTCTCCCAATCACTTCCTTTAAACTCAAGTTTGTGCCCTTGACATTTCACTAGCTCAGCCTTCAATGAGGCACAGAGCTGCTCACAACTAACAATAGCACTTTGCACTGTCAGTTAATCCCTGGGAGCTAAATTGGCTGTGATCCATTTATACATATCAGATTATACATAGTAGATTAACACTTTTTTACATATCAGATTATACATACAGTAGTAGATTAACCCTTGTATACATATATCAGATTATACATAGTAGATTAACCCTTGTATTATTATTGGTTGGTAGTTTGGTCATCGGGTCGAGAAAGTGTGTCCAGTGTTGAAAGAGGAAGGACCCAGTTGGGATGTGACGGTGAAGAGAGTGGACTCTCCCACCACAACTTGCTATGTTTGTGTGTAATGGGTAAGATTGTTCTTCTCTTAACGTGGAGAAAATGTAAACACCAACAAGAATATTTAATTTAATCTATCTATATACTGTATGTGATATCATTTTCCCTCACATTATTTTCTTTCATAAATTTGTGTTAAGGTTTAGTTTAGCTTGTGGTAGTTAGTTTGAGTTTAGCTTAGTTTAGTTTAGTTTGCTTAGTTTAGTTTAGTTTAGTTTAGTTTAGTTAGTTTTATAGTTTAGTTTTAGTTTAGTTTAGTTTAGCTTAGTTTAGTTTAGTTTAGTTTAGTTTAGTTTAGGGTTAGTTTAGTTAGTTTAGTTTAGTTTAGTTTAGTTTAGTTTAGTTTAGTTTAGTTTTAGTTTAGTTTAGTTAGTTTAGTTTAGCTTAGCTTAGCTTAGCTTAGTTTAGCTTAGTTTAGTTTAGTTTAGCTTAGCTTAGTTTAGTTTAGCTTAGTTTAGTTTATTTGTTTAGCTTAGTTTAGCTTAGTAGCTTAGTTTATTTAGCTTAGCCAGTTTAGTTTAGTTTGCTTTAGTTTAGCTTAGCTTAGATTTAGCTGTTAATAGTTAGTGTTTAGTTGAAGTTGGTTGGTTGGGTTAGGTTGGTTGTGTTGGTTGGTTGTTGGTTGGTTGTCAGTTGGTTGGTTAGTTGTGTTGGTTGGTTTGTTGGTTGGTTGTGTTGTTTAGTTACTGTTCAGTTAAGTTAGATAGTTAGTTTAGTTTAGTTTAGTTTAGTTTAGTTTAGTTTAGTTTAGTTTAGTTTAGTTTAGTTTAGTGTAATGTTTTCCATAAACATTTTAGCCACATTCAGAAAGTGAAAAATTGTGTGTGTGTAAAAGTATGTAATTACACGGTATATGCCATTTTTTCTATGTGCAGGCACTTCACAGTTCCCTTCCAGCCACACATAGAAGGCATAGAAGAATACAGAGGACAGCAGGTACACAGTCATGATTATCGTCAACCCTCACCATACACTGGCTCTAGGGTACTGGTCCTAGGATTTGGTCTATCTGGTCTTGATATTTCACTCGAATTGTCCACAGTAGCAGAGGAGGTAAGATGAATAACCCCTGCCTGTACAGTGAAGCCTTCATATGATTACTCATACAATCCACTTGGATTATCATCTGCTTTATGCTGTTTAACCTAACTTAACCTAATATAACCTGACCTAACATAACCTGACCTAATATAATATAACCTGACCTAATATAACCTGACCTAACCTAAACTAACCTAATATAACCTGACCTAACCTAACCTAACCTAATATAAACTGACCTAACATAACCTGACCTAACATAACCTGACCTAATATAACCTACCCTAACCTAAACTAACCTAATATAACCTGACCTAACCTAACCTAACCTAATATAACCTGACCTAACATAACCTGACCTAACATAACCTGACCTAATATAACCTGACCTAACCTAACCTAACCTAATATAACCTGACCTAACATAACCTGACCTAACATAACCTGACCTAATATAACCTACCCTAACCTAATGTAGCCTAACATAACCTGACCTAACCTAACATAACCTGACCTAACCTAACATAACTTGACCTAACATAACCTAACCTAATGTAGCCTAACCTTTCCTCATCTAACCTAACCAAACATAACCTGACCTAACATAACCTGACCTAACCTAATCTGACCTAACCTGACCTAATTTAACCTAAACCTAATTTTAGCTTAACCTAACCAAACCTAGCTTAACCTAACCTAATACTTACCTAACCTAACCTTACCTGATCATATGACTAAGACGGTAAAAATCAAATAAAACAAACGATTGTCCAAGTGGGATGAAACCTTCCATATAATGGACTTCATTTTACCATACAGTCCATTAGAAGGACGTTCCATATTAATGCAATTTGATCTAACGTACTGTACTGTACTGTAACCTTTCACGCAGAGTCCGTTAAATAGAGTTTTCACCATACTTGATGTATTTCTGTCTACTTTTGTGGTGTTACTTTATTCCTCATCTACTTTTGTTGAGTGTTGATATGTTTCTGTCTATTTTTGTGGGTAGGAGGTTTCCAAATATTTAAGCTGGATAAGGAGCCAACATGGTAAACTACAGATCACAAATGCTAGAGAAACAGTTCTAACTAGAGGGGTTCTGGGGTATATTTAATTTATACAAACTAAGCATTCATGAATTTATTGTACTAAATAATTATATACTGTACTGTACTAAATGTGTAAAACATTTTTATCATTTAGCATCATAATGTTTTTATATACAGTGGTATAGACTAATATCAAAAGATACCTAGGTATAATGCTAGACGTCAAATTCTGGACTATATCACAAAAACTGGTTTTTATAAAAAACGGCTTTTTTTAATACAGTGGTCCCTCGGTTAACGAGTGCCTTGGTCAACGAGATTTCGGTTAACGAGTTACCTTCCATAAGATTCTTAACTTCGGTTAACGAGCAATCCCTCAATTAACGAGTTTCTTACGAGCCAACCTCCACATGTTTTAGCTTGCATTTGGCAGTCCACCAGCTGTAGTATTAGTCCGCCAATACAGTAATTGGTTCAAGGGCTTAAATTCCTTACCCTTTTAGTAAATATCAAGAAGTTTATACTATTCAATAATTTTCAAAGTTTAATATTAAATTTTTTAGTCATTTTAACAATTATTGAACATAATTGAAGGTAGGGTCACTAGTTTGTGGCACGCCATCCAGCCTGCCAACACAGCATACAGGCGTCAGTCTTTGTGTCTTTTCAGTGGAGGTAACATCTTGCTTGAGACTCTCTTCAACTAAATGCTATTTTTCTGTGTTTACAAGCAAATTATTGGTCATTTTGAAATTTATTTTACATATTGACAATATATAGCGCAATGCAGTGTTATTTTAACCCTTTAGGTGCGTAATTAAATTTCGCGCCGGTTCCTGAAAAGTGTCAATTATCCTGCCAAAAATGAATTTCATATAATCACATTTTCTATATGTTTTTCCTAGAGAACTTTTAGTATATTTTCCAAATCTGGAACAAAAATTCACATATGTGTGCAAATTTTAGAGAAAAAATGACATTTATACCCAAAAAATGCAGGAAATTGGTATAAATCAATGTCTGGTATATGGCAAATAAATTTAATCAATTTGGTTACTAAACAGCAAATTTAGATATGTATTACATATTCAGATAATATCAAACAAAATAGTACAAAAATAAGCTATATTGCATTCAGGAAATACTCCTATACCTCAATACATAATATGTCCGCATGGCGTCTCATTTGGGGAAGTTTTTTCAAGGCCGTGGGATATCCCCGCTTGTCGCATTTAATTAATATAATATTTTGGGCGGGTTTACCCGCATGTCGCATCCAAAGGGTTAAAAGAAAATATTCTTTATTTACAACAAGTTTAACTTTAAAAAGCACGTGTTGACATTGTTTGAATCCAGCATGGGGCCTAAGAGATCAAGAAAAGCGATTTCAATCCAAACCAAGCAGGAAATCATAAAAAAACATGAACAAGGCATTAGAACAAATGCGCTATGCAAAGAATATGGCATGTCGACATCAACTGTGTCGACAATTCTTGCACAGAAAGACAAATTTAAAGAAGTGAAAGTGAGAGACAAATCTACAAGAGTGTTAAAAAGTAGATCCTTAATTGCAGAAACTGAGAGGTTACTTCTCATCTGGATTAGGGAAAAACAGGTGAAAGGTGATTCAGTTTCTACTGAATTCATTTGTGAAAGAGCCTGGGAGATTTATGAACATTTAAAGACAAATTAACCTGGTTCTTCAGGCACAGAATTTGAAGATTTTCGGGCCAGCAAAGGCTGGTTCGAAAAATTTAAAAAAAGAAGTGACATTTTCAGTGTTGTTAGGCATGGTGAAGCTGCTAGTGCTGATAAGGAAGGGCCAGCAAAGTTTTTAGATGAATTTAAAGAACTGATGGAAGAAGAAAATTATCTTCCACAGCAAGTGTTCAATGTGGACGAAACTGGGCTGTTCTGGAAAAAGATGCCCAAAAGAACATTCATCACCAGAGATGAAGCCTCTTTACCTGGGCATAAACCCATGAAAGACCGTCTCACTCTATTGCTTGGTGCCAATGCTTCAGGGGATTTCCGACTGAAGCCTATGCTTGTCTACCACTATGAAAACCCAGGGTGTTCAAGCAACAGAAAGTGGTAAGAACAAAGCTTGGGGTTTATTCGAAGTCCAACTGTAAGGCATGGGTGACAAGACAGCTCTTTAATGAATGGGCTGTTGATGTGTTTTGCCCTTCTGTCAAGAGCTACCTAACCACCAATAAACTCCCTTTAAAGGCTTTTCTCCTCATGGATAATGCTCCTGGTCATGACCCTGACCTTGCCAGAAATTTGGACTATCAATTTGACTTTGTGAAAGTGTTGTTTTTGCCTCCAAACACTACATCAATCATACAGCCAATGGACCAGAATGTGATTAGCAACTTCAAGAAGTTGTACATGAAGAAAATGTTTAGGAGGTGTCATCAGGCAACTTCCAATGATCCTGAACTAACACTGAAACATTTCTGGAAGACACAATTCAACATCCTGGAGGCTGTAAAATTGATTGTGTCATCATGGCAAGAAGTCTCCACTAGATCCCTCAATTCTTCATGGAAAGCACTGTGGCCATCAGTAGTCCATGATTTTGAGGGATTTGAGGAAGAAACAGAGTTGGACCAGGAGAATGTGTCCATTGGTCAGTCATTGGGCCTTGATGTGGAGGAGGAGCTTATCCTGATGACTTGAAGCAACTGGATGAGATGTTACAGGTAGAGGCTGACAGTGGTGAGGAGGAAATTGAAAGTGATGACCATATGTCAGCTAAACAGTTGAAAGATGTGATTTACCACTGGGAGAAGTTCAGGGAACTGGCTTCAAAGCACCCAGAAGTGGAAAAAACTGAACTAACTTTGTGTCATGTTGAGGACTCAGTGGTCTCCTTCTTTAAACATAAGTTAATGGTGAGGAGGACAGATGCCCCACAGACCACAATTGACACTTTCTTCAGTAAAAGGCAGAGGGAACAAGATGCTATCCCTCAGCCTTCCACTTCAAGAAGGAGAGAGGATGTTCATGGTGGAGAATCTGTCAGTCCAGAGGTTCCTGACATTTTCATGGAAGGTGACTCACCTTCCAAGAAGCAGTAAAATGCTTCTCCTCCACCTCCACTTCCTTCTCTTCTCCCTTCTCCTCCTCCACCTCCCATTTCAAATTCACATCATCATCATCATCATCCAGGAGCCTTCTACATACACACCTCAAAGTAAGTGAACTTTTCTCCCATTTTTGTTGAATTTAGGCAATTTTCGGTGAGCTGGAACCAATTACCCAAAAACCCATTGAAACAATGGTTTTGGTTAACGAGATTTTCGGTTAACGAGCAACCTGCTGGAACGGATTGTGCTCGTTTACCAAGGGACCACTGTATATTTTTACACAAACGTCAAATCCCTTCACTTTTCTGCAAGTAAATTTGAAAATTTCATCTTCCTGGGATGTCTCTGTGTCAATGTGTCAATTCCTTGGTTTATGTCTACTGTTATATCTCGGTGCATGTGCAGTAGTTTCAGCAGGGTCAGATTAAGGCCATGGCCTAGGGCCTCACGGTCAAGGCCGATTTTACTGTGATGATTGTGGCCCTCAGAAAATGAATGAAATGCTTTGTGAAATAAGTTTTCTATGAGGATTATTAGAACAGTTACAAACTAAATACAGGTTGTACCTCTAGTCCGGCATTCTGTGGTCTGGAACGATTTTACTTTGCCCATGGAGAAAATTAATTTGAGTCTGGTACTTTCGATGTTTGGCTAAATTTTGCCTTATTTACCCTACTTTTTGGTCGAATTGCTACCTGTAATAAAGCAACATCCTAATAAGCCAATGAAAATAACACAGATAAAGTTAAATAAAAACTAAAAACAACACAGAAAAAGTTTTTTTGTTCTACAGATTCAGCTAGAGTTGAACCTGATGACTTGGCAACTTCATCAACCGAGTAAAAACACACACAACAACATTGGC